GGTGGTTCTAGGGACAGCTTGGGGATGTGATTACCCAGAACAAAAGTGGGTTTGGGTGGGGAGCAGTGCTCACTCTCCTGATTGTGACGGAGACTTTACAAGTTACACTTGCAGGCCTCTGAACTCACTAGGATGCACCCCGTACCGGTGTGCAATCTGTCTTCTCTCACATCTCGGCAAAGCCACAAAGATGCTGAGCTGAACCGCCTGGATGGATGGCATCTTTGTCTGACAAACCTCTGGTGAGCCACCCGCGGCTAAGACTAAAGCAGTACTGTCCTGATTCCCATGACTGTCCCTGTCCACAGAAAAATGAAGCTGACATGCTAGGGTTAAACTAAAATTATGTTCTGGGTGCCAGACAGCCATTGGCACTTCTCCCAGTAGGGGATGCCCGACAGGACAATAGCAAGAAGTTCATGACAAGGATATCTGCCAGCATCCCAGGACAAGGCCAGAATCCCCAGACTGCAGGACCAAGTGTCCCTGGCTGCCACCTGCCAGATGCCCTTGTTGACACTGCAACACCTCCAAACCCTCTCCCTCCACCTCGCTCACGGAAGCTACTCTGACCCAGCTGCACGTCAACGTCACCTCAGAACAGGCTGGGGACTCTTTGGTGGAGGCAACAGTGGATGGATGCATCAAGGAAAGTAGCTTCGAACAAAAGAATTAGTTCTTCTCCATGATCCAGGCAGAGGCGCAGCTTGGCAGGCCATGCCCTTGGGCTTTCTCACCATAGAGATCTAGTTCTGTCCCTGCCTCCACCTAGGCTTCCTGTGATAGACCGAGGCCAAAGGGAGAGATGCTGACACTATGAAACAGAGGTGACTTTGGGACCACGGAGATAAGGCTGGCTCTCACTGGGGCTCTTTCAGTGACTCTGTACTATGCCGTGGGAGAAGGACACATTGTTCCTGTGGGGAACAGGGACCTTTTGTCTCAGGGCTTCTGCAACAACTGCCTATTTTCTTGCTTTGCTCACTAGAACTGGAGGGAGAGGCGAGGAGCGAAGATGGCCAAGAGGAGAAAGTGATTCCTCAGAGGAACAGAAGGGCACCTGCTGGGGGTTGGGGTTGGGTAGGGGGTGGTGGACACTTTAATCAAATGCTTTCCATTTCTGACTCCTGTGACCCGGGGGTGTCGAGGGACTGCACACAGTCTTCACACAGGCCCACCACAATAGCCTCTGTCTTCTCAGCCCTCAGGGTGCCCCCAAGGCCCTCTGCTCTGTCCAGTTGGCCTCAGGCAGCACAGGACTAGGCAGCTCAAAGAGCAGTAGTAGGGGGCTGAAGGAAGGAGACACCTTAATATCTCTGTCAGAAGTGGTTGAATTCTGTGTACCAACAAAAGGAGCAGGAAAAACAAGCAGCCTGGGCAACCATGATGAGAGGCATGTCAAGGACACACAGTCTGCGGCTCACAGAGAGGCAATCGGCTCGGACTCTACCACAGGCATACATTCTGTTGAGAGATGATCGTCTCTGGACCACATCTGTGTTGAAGATCCAGCAGACAGACTGACTCGAACTTCATGGTTATAGAGAATTTGAATGTCACAGAGAGAAAGAGAGAGAGCCGAAATTATTTTGAGCTATCTTTAGTCCTCTTAATAGACACTCACTTCCAAACTCTCCGTCTGACTTAAACTCTTGGTGATTTTTTGCTGGGGAGATAGGAACAAAGATCTATTCACCAGATAGGGTATTAAAGGCAGACGATGGCACCCAAGTACATCTGGTGAAAGCAGAGTTTTCTGGGGTTACTTCTAGGAGCATGGACAACCCAGAAGCAGCTGCATGGCTGAACTACCACCTGAGCACAGGTGGTGACTCACAAAATCCGCATCCTTGGACCCCCGCATGACTGGCAGGCAGACATGTTTCCCCTCTGCCTTTAGAATGCTGGGGAGAGAGCCTCTGTGACTCTTCAAACTTTCTGACCTTCTTATCTTGTTAGTTTCTTTAGCTGCTGGAGCCCTAGGACCCACCCCCTCACCCCCACCTCTCACTGCCCCCCCCCAGGAGGAAAAGCTTTCGTTAGAAGGAAATAGGTATAAAAGAGGTTAGCATGAGGTCACTGGCTTCCACCAGACCTAAAGCTAAGATCATCAGGTAGCACCTGAAACCCAAAGCAGGACTTCCTGTTCTTCTGCAGCCCAGCTAACTGGTGTCCCTGTCAACACATCTGGCAAATGCACCGATCGTTCTGTGACAGAAAAAAGTTACTGTAGCCTTTTCCTACAAACCTGACTCTGTTTCCCTGGGCCACATCTGGCCCAGAATAAATGGCTTCTTACTCTCTTTGAAGTGAGCGCAGTGGTTCATATTTATGCTGGAGTCACACTTGTGCAGCTAGTCACCCCAAAGATTCAGAAGTGATCAGATTCACATCAGCAGCTCAGGACCAAAGATAAGTAAGAGACTTCTCACAGGGCGGGACAGTCCCTCAGAATGTGGGGAAGCTCAGGGAAGGGCTGTCTCTGGGAGTTCTGGAAGTGAAAGTGTGTGACAGAGTGCTGGAGGCTATGGGAAAAAAAGAAGCAGAGCTTGAGAAGGGGCAAGGGACTGACCTCTATTTCACCTCAGGAAATGGAGGCTGAGGTGTGGCCTCCCAGGTCAGGCTTTGGGCAAGAAGAGGCAAACTAGGTATCCAGTTCAGAACATCCTTCTCCCCGGCACCCAGCCCCAGCGTCCCGCCTGGAATTTCATCACTATCATTACAAAGCAGCACGTTAGCATTACCATTCCCCTCAGAAGCTGACTGACTTCCAGAAAGGAAGGTCAGCGAATGCTATTCCTGTACGTTCACACTGAAGCCTCACAGGTCTGCAGGCCCCTGCCTCCACCCTAGGACCTGCCTTGGTCTGAGCTGCTACCGGGGCCGGGCCGACAGGGTGACCCTACCAGGTGCTGAATGCATCCATTCGGCACCTGATTCAGTATTTGAGTTTTTAAGATATTCTGAAACAGACACAACAGAAAAACCATCTTGACTGACTCATTGAAAGAATTATTAGCTGGGGCTGGAGAGATGGCTCCATGGTTAAAAGCACTGGATGTTTTTCAAGAGGACTTGAATTTGATTCCCAGCACCCACATGGCAGCTCAAAACCCTCTGTAACTCCAATCCCAGGGACGCACTGTCCTCTTCTGGCCGCCTGTGGCACCAGGCACCAACATGGTACATAGACATACGTGGTGGTTTGACTAGGAATGCCCCCCTCCCCCTAGACTTACATGTTTAAATGTTTGGCCCATAGGGAGTGGAACTATTAGGAGGTGTCACCTTGTTGGAGTAGATAAGGCCTTGCTGGAGAAGTGTGCCACTGTGGAGGGAGATCTTGAGGTCTTATAGGCTCAAGATATGCCCAGTGCGGCACAGTCTTCTTCTGCTGCCTGCGGATCAAGATGTAGAACTCTCAGCTTTCTCCAGCACCATGTCTGCCTGCACACTGCCATGTTTCTCGCCATGACGATAATGGGCTAAGCATCTGAACTATAAGCCAGCCCCAGTGAAATGTTTTCCGTTATAAGAGTGGCCACGGTCATGGTATCTCTGCACAGCAACAAAACCCTAAGACAACATACATGCAGTCAAAACAATCATACACAGAAAAATTATTAACTCATCAATTAAAAAGAATTATTAGCTGGCTGTGGTGGACTGTAACTGTAATCCTAGCACAGGAAAGCTGAGGCAGGAGGATGGCGCTTTTCCAGGTGCACCTCAAACAACAAAAGCCCACAGCTTCTTAAGAGGCCATTAGACTATACTGTCTACAACCCTAGATAGTTGCTTAAATCACGTCACATTTCATATACACAAAGGAAAAAACTCATGAACCATATCTCCTACCGCCAACAGCATACAATTAGACCGTATCTGGAATATCAGTTTCCTTGCTCCCTGCTCTGAGGAAATCCAGGAGATGGGCATGGGGAAGGAAATAGGTTGATATTGCTTGGCCCAGAAGGGGCGAGGACAGTTCCCAGTCTCCTCTCCCTTGCTAACTGCAGCCTCACAAAGGCGGGGAAGTGCACTTGTGTGGATTTAGCTGTAAACCTTAATTATCAGAGCTAGAAGTCTCCATCGTGAGGGAGGAGTCCCCACTGAAGCCACTAATTATCCTCACCCCCCAAATGGAATTTTCTAGAGACACTCCGATCCCCACTATGATCTCATAACACCAGTGCCAGGCCTCATGGGCATTCGAGCAGCAGCCTTCCTCTGGGTTTATTTGATTGCCAACTCATGATCTCACGTTCTGAGAAACTCCCAGAGCAAGGCAAGACTAGACTATTCCACACTGGTTAGGGAGTTCCACACAACCTATGTCCAAATTCCCCCCTTTGCTTGTCTTAATCAGGTTACCAAAATTAACATTATCACGGAGGGGCAGACAGATCAAGACTTCTGACTTGACACTCCACGGGAGACCAGGTTTACGTGGTACTCTAGCCAGATGTGTGCCTTGAACCCACCAGGCTGACAAACGTCATACCGGTAAACCAGAGGGACGGTGCTAACATCAACAGCTGCTGCAGAGGCTGAGGAACCACGGCAGACTGACAGACACAGGAGACATGACTCAACCGTCCTGGAGAGGGAGGACATGCAGGAAGGAACTGTCAGGAAGTAATTAGATAAAAAGCCTGGACTCCAGTTGAGCTGGCAGAGTTACACGTGGAAATGTTTTTGTCCTTAAAAGCACCGAGAACCAAGAGGTAAAAGGGTACCAAGCCAGAAGTGATGAGCCCGGTAGTCTCAGCGGGCAGGAGGGCTGAAAACCCATTTTGAAAGCAGCCCGGGCAGTATGGGGAGACCCATCTCCAAAGAAAAAGATAGGGACAAAGGGATTCTTAAAACTGAGTGACAAGGAGATAGGCAATGAGACAGGCTGTGAAGAACTGCTTTACCTTGTGACCGAACGCTAGAAATTGGCAAATCTGAAAGGGAAAAAAAAAGTAAGTGAAAGGCATTTTGGCTTGTTTCCCCCCCCCCCCCAGCTTTTATATTAAACAAAGTGTCAGAAATAAAAGAAAATGAGATGGGGTAACTTACTTCAAACTCAGAGCCTGGCTCCTGAAGTGACAAAGGGGATCCTGAAAGGTCAGTGACCCCCATCCTGGAAGTGTCCACTGAGAGTAACTGTTCATATGGAAGGGGCTGGTGAGGCAAGGGGGAGCCTTGTGTTGCTCTTTGGAGGCTAGGTGTCCAATCCTGCATCCTTTGTTCCCGGCTATCCCTCAGGCGGGTCCTTGCAGTGACAAGAGCAGATGGCCCTGAAGATATGACTACACCAGGCAGAAAGGAACAGGAAATGGGGGTGGGGGAGGCTCTCTGCTTTCGTAGCTAACCTTCCTTTGGGAAGAAAAGAAGTGTACATCAGCCAGGAGCCCCTCCGTGTTTGCTGGTCAGTTCCACCAAACATGAACACAAGGGTGATCAGGGTGACAGGGAACCACTAGAGGGTCCACTGGCCACGAGTTCAGTGTAACTGAGCCAAACAAGAGTCGCAGATTAAGAAATGAAAACCACGTTTGTTTGTTTTTTTCGTGAGCTTCATAGTGCTGTGTGATATACATTTGAGCCAGTCACAGAGCTAAGGGAAAGCACACATGGGAGGGAGCTACAGCCCATCTCTGGCTCAGCAGCAAGCTGTCCCTCCTCTGTTTGTTTTGTGTGGAAACAATGTTTCTGGGTGGACCTAGTGTGCTGCAAGTCCCTCGAGCCAAGAGAACCCAGGCAGAGATGCATGCACTGTGCTTCTGAGACTCTGTGGCTCACACAGCGGTTCTGAAAGCCAACACAGCCGATGCTGTGAAAGTTACCGGGACTGCAACCAGTTTTCTTTTAAACTTTTGGAGGGATTTCCGTCCCCCACCCCATCCATCCTTCCTCCTTAATTGCTCAGAAAGGGGCAGGCCTCCCATGGGCTTCAGCAAAGTATGGCATCAAGCTTAGCAGGGGGGGGGGGGGGTTAGATGGCAAGGTTTGCATCTATAACCTTTAAGGATTTCAACTTTGGGTTCATTTTCGAAGTACGTTGACGAGTTTGGTGCTATTTGTTCAACATAGCAAACTAACAGGAAATGCAAAGCCTCCAACAGACTGGAGCATAACAATGAAATCACCAAATATAAACCAGCAGGATGGCAAACGGGAGGTGAGTTCTCACGGCAGGTTCCAAGTCGGAAGCTGGAGCACCCTGCGTCAGAGACATCCAGAACCCAAGGCTCCAGAGGCAAGGTAGGGCTTGTCCCTCTGACCCAGGACTCAGGCTACACTGTGAGCAAAGTCATGACAGAGGCAACATTCACTCGGAGTCAGCAGAGAAAAGATAATGAAGGTCTCTCCCTCCTCTCTCATTCCCATGCAGACCGCCTGCCTGCCCAGGTCTCTTCCCAGAGCCCTCCTTGCTGTGTGGGTTGGAGACGGCTCCCTGGCCTCTATCCAGTCTTACCTTGTTGAAAGTACCCTCAGAACACATTTTGTCTCCCTTCCGGGTTGGCATGTCTTCTGCCACACACAGGAACACACAGGATACCTGCCATTTGTTAGTTCGTCCGCTCACTTGCCAATGGCTGGGCACCCATACCCAGGGAACCAGAGTTGGTCAGGGAACCAGAGACGCCAGCCCTCGTGTGGCTCATGAAACCCTACTGACACTGAGTGTGCCAACACTCTTTTGGCACTAGCATTTGAATGAGAGCCCTCCAAAGCCATGTTGATAAGTCACATCCACAGTGGGGGGCTGAAAGGGGCCTCCTCGCAGCCATTGGCTTCCACAAGCAGCAACAGACCCGGCCAGAGGACATGTAAGTCGCCATGTTCCCAGCTATGATCAGAGCCTTCTGAAGCCCTAACTAAGTTAGAATTATTTTGTCTTTTCAGTCCTTCTGCTCCTTGGAGATACAACATTTCTTCCTCCCAGAGGTAAAGCAATGTCCCGGCTGTAGGAAGGACCAGGCCTCTTCCTGACTGAAGCCACCGGCATCTGACCTTGGACCTCCAAGTCTGTAAAACTCAATGTGCTTAGTCTCTGCTTTTTCTCTGGGACAGGCTCAGGTGTAGTCTCTACAGCACACAGCACAGACAATTCCCATCAGGAGGGTCGCACAGGCTGTGTGAACAGACGCATCAGAGATCAGGCAGAGACCTGGCCTCTTGCTAGAGATGTCACTGTGGACAGTCACCACCTGTCTGGACCTCAGCTTCCCCAGCTAAACTGTGGGAGCAACAGCGCCTCCTGGGGAGCTATGTAGAGAGAGCCATGGCAGCCAAACACCTCACAAAAGACAATAGCAAATGACCAGTAACTGGCTGTGCCATCCCAAGCCCAGCTCTTGGGTGAGCCTGTGGCACGCTGAGAGAAATAAGAGCTGGGGCTAAATTAAAGGGGCGGGGGCAAGTCATCAGTAAGAGATGGGGAAGACACTGGGCTGTTGCCTGTCACTCAATATCCCTGACCTGTCACATTCCCTAATTTTGAAAACAGCACAGATATAGAAAAGTATTTCTCTACCCTGGGAGAAGGGCGGTGCTTTTTTGGTTTTCTGTGCCAGTCAGAAGGGAGAGCCTGTGTTCTCTGTGCAGTAGCCGAAGGCAGAAGGCAGGCAGGGCCGCATACAGGCTACCTCAGCACTCTACCCTTAACCAACGCCGCACCCTGTTCTGATTCCTAACAGGCTGTGCAGGAGTCTTGTGGGGCACACATGCAGCCAGACCTTGGCTGGTGTGGGCCACAGCAGGCCACGCCCAGGCTCACATCAGTGTCCTCTGCACCATACCCCTCTCAGAGACTCATCTGGCAAGATAGTAAACACCACAGTGAAGCTATAGCTAGAAAGGGTGACCACTCTCTAGGCAACAAAGGCAGAGGCTACTGGTTACATCACCCCGAGGGCCTTCCCATCTAACACTCTTGTCTCCTAAGTCCCTGGGAGAAGTCCTAGTCAGGAAGGAGAAGTGTGTGGAACAACCAGAGGCCACCTCAGCCTGGGGACGGCGTCCAGGTGACACACATAAAGACAGAGGATATAGTGTGAGGTCACACTCCTAGAGCAGGCCAGAGAAAGTCAGCCGAACTTTCCTACTGTCTTCTGGTCACATAAAGACCTGCCAACATGTTCTGGATACAGAGTGTTCTCAGACACGCCAACGTGAGCTTGAGCTGGCGTTAGCAGACAAGAACTGGTGTGTGTGTCTTCTGGAAATGACCATAACTTTATTAAACTTCTGCCCAGTTAAAAACTGCCAGGCTTGTGCCTGTGCAAAGCAGATATGGGAGCTACAGGGTTTCCAGGTAGGGACACAAAATAAAGACTTTGTTAGGATGAAATAAATAGGCGCCATACATCTGATAAAGTTCAAGCACTAGTATCCCAAACACGCTGAGGCCCATGATCGATGGCAAGAGTAAGTCACACATGATTTTCAAGACCAACTACCATCACAAAGGTAGTTTTGACAAAAATAAACTGTACTTTAATTTATACTCCTGGGGAAAGTTTCTGTGTCCGCCAGTAGCATGGACAGCCGGTGTCTGGACGTCCCACCCATAAACAGTGCACTAAGAACACTTGCCTACATTAGGCAAGCTGTTTGTTCTTGGCAACCCAGGGAGAGCATCTCTAGGTACAGGACCCCTCACAGCCCAGAGGGGAAAAGTCCCTGCCTGCCTTGAAATTGACAGAGCAGAACTGGGGCTAGCCTAGCCACTTTCATCAATCAGAAATGGCTAGAAGATCCAGATCCCATGCCAGGAAGGGTAGATAAACTCTAGGACCATTCAGCCATTGAGAAAAACCCTTCACCAGAACTGTGTTCTTCCGCCACTTGCCACTAGAGGGTGCTGCTGTGCCACTGGCTTAAAATTCCACATGCTGGGAAATTTTTTTCACAAATACCAGCAAATCACATTTTCTTAGGCCGATTCTTTGTAATGAAACAGAACATGACTCCCAGATAAGGCACGCAGGCTGTGGGTGTGCTTACTCGTCCACACCCACATGGGTCCTACCTAATGAAGTCCTTTCAAGTATTCAGGCTGGCCTCCTCAGCAGCTTGCACACACCATGGCTCCTTTCCTGACCCCGACCTGGCAGGCACAGCATGGCTGAGGCCACACCAGAGGAATCGGAAGAAGACCATGATGGCAAAGCCCTCCTGCAGGCAAAACAAGGTCCCAGTAATACTTCACGGCTACTTCAGAACTAACGCTAAAAGACAAGTTAGTATTCACCTACACGACCTCCTCTGCTCAGAGCTCTGCTGAACCCCGGGCACGCGTCCACTGGCATCAGAGCCTCTTTTTCTGAGGCACCTGACCATTGGTCCTTTCTTGCCTGCCACCCTTGGTATCGGACGGCGGCGCAAAGTTCCAGTCGACGGGGTTAAGGAGCTGCTGGGTCTTTTTGTGTGTCCAGTAGGGGTTAATGATGAGCGTGAGCAGGGCCAGCCCGCAGAGGAAGAGCGCGAAGTGAGGCAGGTAGAGGCTGTCCACGAGGGCGCCCCAGTGCTGGAAGCACACCCACCACATGTGGTAGGTGAGGATCATGCGGCAGTGGAACATGTGGATCATCAGCCACTGGTTGACCTTCCAGAACAGGGAGTCTGACCAGCCAGCCTGTGGACGAGACAAACACCCTGTCAGAATGGGAGGTGGAACGGTATGGGCGCCCTTCATGCGCCGTGAACTCAGTTCAAAGCAACAGGCTTCTTGTCAGCACTTGCTATCCGGGGCTTAATTTTGAAGAAAGATGAGAGCCTGGGCCAGTGTCTCATAGTGAGGCCTGCTCTACTTACTTCCCACTCCTTAAGGCAAGACTCAAATCTTTCCATCTTGAATTAGCTCATATCGTAGAGCAAATGGGCCCCTTTTATCTAGCAGCAGCGGGCACACACCCCGGAGCAGTCTGGATAGAAGGTACGTCCGGGTTCCTCTAGCTCTTTCACCTCCGAGGGCCTCAGATGAAGGCCAAAATGGGTTTTGTATAACTCCATGCTATGAGCACATTAGTGAGTTTCTGCAGTTGGAGCTGAAGCTGAGCAGCACCCAGTGCCTTGCCATGGACAAAAGCCAAGTCCGGCCGCCCCACATAGTCCAGGTGCTGCCCAGCAGCAGCCTTCGGGACTCCTCAGACTGCCATCCCCAGACACAGGTGTGGCAGCTGCTCCCTCCAGGATGAGGCACGACGCTGTACGCTGTCTGTACTCAGTGGCTAGGGCTGGGCTGCTAGACTCAGGGTCAGCTGTGAGAGCAGGAAGCCAAGGGGTGGGCTACTGTTCTGGAGGCAGGAGGGCTGGTCTGAGTGAAGGCTCTCCCTGAGGCTGTGTGACATCACCTCCAGGTGGACCAGGAACTAACTTCTGAATCCAGCAAACAAAAGAGAGTTGCTCTTACACAAGCTGACAGACCTCAAAGGCTGAGAGCCACTGAGTTAAGGGATGGCCTTGTGAGTGTATGTATAATCACAAATCTCTCCAGAACATTTTAAGTATCGAAGTAAAACAACAATGCTTTCTATGACATATAACACTAGTGACTGAGTCCAAAGAGCCAATCATCTTTCTTTTAACTCTACGACTTAAGTATGAGAAGTTGGAATTCAACCAGATGATGGCTTGCTGCACAGCTGCCTCGCGGCTGGTCCTGGTGACACTCTGGCTAGTGTGGTACTGCCTGAGGGGACCTGCTCAGCGAGAGGCCATGGCACTTCCCCCTATCCCCTTACCCACCTTCACAGCGATCCCCCGTTCCCTCACCTACCTTCAGGAGCATCCAGGAAATGCAGGTGAAGGGTGTGCTCATTTCTAAGAGCAGAGTGGTCATGGCCAGATAGTGGCCGGCTCTGAGATTAGCCATGGAACCCAGGAACCCAAGAAAGGCAAAGAGGTGGTGGACAACCAAAAACAAGTCAAACGTCCGGAAGCACAGGTTGGACAGGTGGACGGCCACATTCTCAAAGAGGAAGAATCCAGTGGCAGTGGCGACATGAAACCAACACCAGTTCTGCTGCCCGAGAGCTTTGTCGGCGTGGAGCACGGGGTCCCCCAGCAGAGCCCACAGGCCGGCAGCCGTGCTCTGGACACCAAAGACTGCACGGGTAGCGGCCAGGTTCCAGAAGACCTTCTCTTTGGCCAGCAGAGAGCGGTAGGTGGCATTCAGGGAGGATGACAGCTGGTGGCAGACCACGAAGACGCCCAGGTAGAAGACAAAGCCAGCTACCGCCAGGGTCGAGCGGATCTTCCAGGAAGCATAGTCCAGGTCAAAAATGCTCTCCGCCATGACATGGTCGCTTACAGGGGTCATGATCCTGATCTGGATGCCAGGGGTGTCCCTGGGCCAACGCAGGGCTGCTGGGCCTGACACCGCTCCTCACTTTCAGTGAAGCCGTCTCAAGGATCTTCGGGTATCCATTCCCAATCTGAAGAAAGAAAATTCACCTCAGAAGAAGCAGGAAAGCAAAAAGCGCCATGGCCTCCCTCCCACACATGGTCTGCACACCTCCACCCCATCAAAGGACAATGTGGGGGAAGTATTTAAGCTTTCTACCTCACTCTGATGCTTGCAGACATACACAAACCCTGTAAGAGACCTACAGACGGCACAAGGGAAGGAACTAGGCTGACCCAGAGATGCTCAGTCACCAAGGGAGGCAGACACACTCTGACTCGGAAACGGGCTAGGCTCTTCCCACAGAACTCGAGTCTCAGCCCTCGCCTTTGCAGCAGTCCGGTCATAAGCTACATAATCCACAATTCCAGACACTGGAATGCACTCTGTTGAGCTGTTGAGTCACTTTACCTCCAGAGTCTGAGATAAGAACCTTTCCTTCACGCTCTGTGTTTGGGAGAGCTGCTAATAAAAACACCACAATCTCTGCCAAGTCCATGGACATGGGGCCAGGGACACACCTGGGTTCAAATACTACTCCTGCTGTACTGGCCATGTGACCTTTGGACATGGGACTCAGTTTCCCCAGGAGGAGAGCAGAGGATGCTGCGGGACTGAAGCAATGTGTGGTATGTGGTACAGGCTGGGGTTCTCTAATCTGGAACATCCTGAGAGTTCACTTCCTAAAATGGCTGTGCATTTGTTTTAGAGTTCACGTCAAGAGACGGACCTGTGGTGCATTTCAAGACTCTCGTAGAGCTTCCAGAGTAAGCCGGAACTACTACTGCCAGGACCTACCGGTGTTCGGGTATGACCCACTTCCTTTCCGGGACCTGACCTCAAACGCTCCTGCACCTCGCTCCATGGCCAGCTCTGAAGCTCTGAATTCTAACTTCTCTGCAGATGCCCCGCCCCTGGACCGGATCAGCCAACTTCAGCCCACCTGCTTCAAATGCTCTCTAGTCTGAGAAGCACCATGCGCTGGGCCAAATGCCTTTCAGACAAACTCGCGTGCCCTCTGGGCCCACACCTGAGCTGCACTCTAGTCTTAACCCCAGCCAGCACCACGGAAGCCCTCAAAGGCAGAAGCCCATCCTGCCCATCTTTAAAACCCAGGTGCCTGGTACAGTGGCTGACAGACATGAAATACTTGCTGAATGCATGCAGATTCGAAATTGTGCTTAAATGGTGAGAGGTCCCTAAACTGGATCTGCTTTGTGAAACTGTAAACAAGAGAGGGTCAAGACTGGAGGAAATCGTGAGACCTGACCAGCTCAGCAGTCACCGCAGGCCAGTCCCACAGCGAGCAGGACAAACCCTGACCCTACTTCCTCAGGGGCGGGGAGCCTTGAGGGAAGGAGGCAGAACATGGCAGGGCTGTGCACTCATCAACCATGAGGCAACAGGGCTCAGTACCAGGGCACCACATCAGCCTCCGACCCTAACTCACTCATCTGTGGCCACAGAAAGCACCAGAACACGAGGCTTGTGGGCTTGAGTGCCAGGGCCCACCCCAAAGGACAAAGGAACCCACGGCCATTATGCTCTTAGCTTGGCAAGACGACGTCCTGGAAGAGCTGGTTTCCCCTCACTTTAACACAGGATGCAGTTGTGTGGGCACAACTCGCACACTCATGTATCCCCTCTGATTCCGGGAGCCCTGTGTCACTGTCCTGATGTGTGTTTCCGGACACATGGAAATGTTCTCTGGAGGTGACAACCCAGAGGCTGTTCTGTACGAAGCCTACACCCAGGGCTCACGCCTCGGCTCGTAGGAACACTTGTCTATTTCATGTTTCCAATGACTCCAAAAGCCACTCCCACTGAGACAAAATGTAAGGTGGTCCCACACGGCAGGGGCAACTGGCTCGCGAAGGCTCTTCTGAGAAGGAAGCTGGCTTTGAACTCATGATGCCCCCCCCCCCCCCCGACCTAACTGAATACTTAATACCTCCTAACCCAGGCACATTCAAGCCTAGTACAGGGCTAGGAAGGAAGGCAGATCTTCTTCCTGGATCTGGAGTAAAAAGGCCCCATTTTGCACTTGCCCACAAGTCACGAGACCGGGCACAAGTTCCCATTCTGGTGCAACTGCATTGCATCACTGTGCCAGGAGTCAGCTTCCATGGGGTGGGCGGACCCCCCCAACTCTGGAAATCTCTACTCGAGCTACTTCCTAAATCAAGGGACACAAACACTGTCTCAAGAAGGTTCTGGTTTAGTCAGAGTGGGAGGAACCTCAGAGCCTTAAGATCAGTGGCTCAAAGATGGCTTGGCTGAGTGGCTTCTCACAGCTTCCCTGAGCACGGGGGCTAACCCTGGAAATAAAATCTACCCGGAAATACAGCATAGCGGAGTATGAAGCACCCGCTGTGTCAGGTGCATCCAACTGGTCTGTTTCCTCTTCACCAGAGAGAGGACGGCTCCAAATCTTCAAGGTACCTTTGGAGGGACGGCATTTAAAGGACATATCCACATCAGTCACTTACACAAGACGCGGAGGAGGAGGAGACGTCCTGGCCATTCCAGATCAGGAGCCAAACAGTTACAGAAACGGTGACTTATACACCAGAACACACACCACACTTCAACCCCTATCACCGCTTCCCCAGGCTGCTTCGGTGCTCAGACCTCCCGCTCTGTAGGTTTCCATAAAGCACCATGCACAGATCCCTGGGCGACCAGTGACGTCTCCGCAGCTAACAGCACCAAGCATCCTTCCTCTGGGCAGGCAGCAGCAAGGTAAAGTTCAACACCCTCAGCCACAAGAGTAACAGGCCAGGTTCACCTGGCTGGTGTTGGGATGCAGCTGGCCATCCCTCCCCAGAGGCCTGGAGACTCTGCTGGTCCCCTCTGCAGAGTCACAGCTGTGCCCAGTAGGCAGCTCAGATGTGTATGGGACCAGCTCAGTTCTCCTTTTGAGTCCCTTTCTGCTCCTCAAACCGACCACATCCGTCTCACATTAGAAAGGCAAAAAAGGGGACACTGAGGTCACAGCCATTCCCCTTCTGCATGCCTGCTTCACACCAAGCCCAGCTTGGGGACTTCTCCATACTGCTCACTGCCTGAAGTAAGCGGCACAGTGGCCTGCCACTGCTCCCGCCACCTAACCTTCAGTCCTCAAGCTCCATGGAGGAGCCAAAGGCAGGGCTGAGCCCGGGGCCCAGTGCAACTCACCGATTCTGTGTTCCTCTGAGATGGGGGTGGGGGATGGCTCTCCAAAGCTCCTCTTATATTGCAGTCACTGGCCTGAGCTCTACTTGTACTGAACTGTGCCTTTTTAAGAAGGAAATCTGCTGGAGAGATGGCTCAGTGGCTGGGAGTGCTGGCTGCTCTCCCAGAGGACCCGGGTTCAATTCCCAGCACCCACATGGCAGCTCACAACTGTCTGTTAACTCCAGTTCCAGGGAATCTGACACCTTTATATCAAATGCACAATAAAATAAAGTTAAATACAATAAGGTTGTACATAAACGGACGAGGGTGTCAGTTTGGTGCTGCAGTGACCAGAGGGCCACATCACCAGGAGCTTAGAGTCAGCACCCGAGGAACCCTGAGTTCCTCCAGACTGTTTGGTATAGCAGAACTGTGTGTTTAGTTAGGATAACGAGTCCCAAACTTGGAACTGCAGGTCAGAGGGAATAACCCTGGGACAAAGGGGTCTATTAACTAACGTATCGAAGCTGACACTGGCTGCTAGCTTCTCCCAGAAGCCCCTACCTGTTATGGGGGGAGGGTCCTGGCTAAGATACCTTACTCCCCCCCCCCCCCGAACTTCTCCAGCCCAGGGGCTGGGCTGCCTTTCCCTCAACTGCTCTTCCCTATATAACCCAGTCATTGCCATTTTGGTTATGCAACCCTTTTTGCCTTTTGGGCCTCTTGGTCTGCTGGTGTCCTGGCTCTCTTCTCTCCCCTCCCCTCCCACGCCATGGCCTGGCTCGGGGTCCTGTTCACTCTGGGCTCTCCCAGATGCCTCTGCTCTCCTTCACCTCTCCAATAAACCTCCCCCTACACCTAGGAGCCGTCATGTCCTCCCTTCTCTTCAGTCACCCACCAGATTCACCATTTACCGAGGTGCACAGAGTGGGTCCTAATTCTAATTCCTAATTCTCAGTCGGGGTGGTCTCTGGGGCAGTCTCTAGGGCACTGAAAGCTTCCTTGATTTCTCTTCCCACGGGGTGGGGGAGGGTGCGGGGATGGCCCCACAGGCTGTGGTTTCACTACACCCCAGGACACTCACCAGTTCTGCCTCTCACTCACCTGTCCTAGCTCACTCGGCACTTGTTTTGGTTACTGACAGCAGAAACCCTCCCTCCCACTGTTTTCTTCTCCACTCGGCTGTTTCTCTTCTCTGACAGGATCGACAGAGCATACCCATGGGCTAACACGTTCAGGATCACACGCAGGTGTTTGGTCACAGTGTTTCCCCAACATCAAAAGGAATGTATGCTTAAACAAAACTGCAGCGCATGAGCCTGGAAATGGAGAAACGAAACCTCATTATCCCCCGAGCAAGCTCTAAGCAACACCACCAGTATTGGGCACATGCTGAGTCAGTTTTTCCCTAGATAAAAACCATTTCCTTTTTAGTAAAAAAGAAGGGATAAACACATGTAAGCTGTTTACTGTTTCTTTGCCTTTGGCAACACATCAGTTAAGTCTCCCTCACTAATCCTCTTCCATGTGGTTCTTGGTGGCTTAGGGGGACAGGTCCACCTACCCAGTGTCCTAACAGAGTTCTCCAGGTTCTCATTATCCTAAGGTATTCTGTACTAAGCATCTCAGGGAAAAGACCAAGGAGAACTTCTCTGGGCCAGGAAGGGAGGCCAGGGTCTACTGTAAGCGTTGTTTCCATAACAACTAGAACCCGGAAGCTAGGACAGATCTACTAGAGCTAATAGAAGACCTGGTAGCTGGGTAGGCATCCCATACAATATCGGATGTTTCCTTAATCATGTCCTTTCCCAAATGCTCACATCCTTCCTGAAAAGTTTTTTTTTTAAAAAACCATAGAAACAAATCCAGTGTATAGCTACAGATTTCATATATAAACAGGTAAGAACATAGTGACACATTCAAACAGTACTTAGCAATCTGCTCCCAATCATTTCAGACTTTTTTTTTTTTTTTAGCTTTTCGAAACAAGGTTTCTCTGTAACTTTGGAGCCTGTCCTGGAACTAGCTCTTATAGACCAGGCTGGCCTTGAACTCACGGAGACCGCCTGCCTCTGACTCCTGGGTGCTGGGATTAAAGGTGTTGCTACCACCAAAGGCCTCAGACACTCACCAAGCAAAGTTCCACCCTATCCTTCCTTATCTGAGCAGCACCACAGGCCCAGAGCCTGTTATCTCCTGTACCCTGCTGACTCTAGCTAGGTGTTTTATTCCCCTCCCCCTTCACTATATATGCTGACACCACCCAGAGCCACCTCCTTGCCGACCAGGCCAACAGGGCCTTTCCTCCTCTGGTCCCATGACGATCAGTCCATGATCAAGCTCCCCAATCCTTAGCACTGTTTAGAGCTAGCCTAGCGTGTCCCACTTTCGCCCCAGATGGTCCGTCCCTTTGCTGCTGCTCCTCGTTGTACCAAGTTCTCTTGCGCCCGGTGTCGACCTGTGTGCAATCGCACCTAGCCTGACCCGTCCACTCGCGACCCCGCTGGCCCCATGCATGACCTGGAGGCAAACGCCAAAACAATGCCTCCTCCCCGGATGGCCAGGCAATGACAGCCCCAGTGCTGGCGGGGGTGTACACAGGGCGCCCTCCACGCCTCACCTGCATTCAGGTGAGCAGAAGGTGGGCGCCGCCTCTTGGCCCATCAGCTGCTCAGACTCGGCGTCCCCGGGGCTCCAGCGCCATGGACATACCCAGTGCCATGAATCAGACCAGGATACCGGCCGGTGGGTGGCACCGGAGACCAAGACCCCACGCCCACCTGTGTCTCCGCCTCGGCGCCGGGCTTTCGGTCCGTCCCACCCCGACCGCCGGAGGATTACCCACGACAGTGTCGCGAGCTGAGAAAACACAACCCACTGCGCACGCGCACCACCGCCAACAAGCCCAGGCCCCGCCCCCGTGGGGCACTACCAAGGCAATCGTAGGGGTGCGGGCCGTACCACCCAGCGCCGCGAGGGCGCCTAGATTTCTGCAGCGAGCTATGCTAGATTTGATTGTCGTGATTCAAGCTGGTTCTGGAACTCTGAAGAAGGGTAGGGACGGGGCCGTGGGACAATTCCTCAAGAATACTCAACTGAGACCCTACACGACCCCCTTATTCTTCTGCATGGACCTGTCCCCCAAGACCCTCCCCACGTATGCCCACCCCGTCACCCACCCACCCCGTGTCCCTTGGGCCTCTGAGGTTCCAAAGCTGAGGTGAGGGGCAAACCCTTGTAAACGTCTCCCGGTTGGTGTTTCCTCGTTGTGGGCCAGCGCTTGAAGCTAGCATATTGTGCTCAGGCTGGCAGAATGGACCAGAGCGCTTCCCTTGCTACAAAAAGCATTGCCTGCCTTCCGGGTGGTGGCACCCGGCTCCTGTCTGTACAGTGGGTTCTGCTCAAACTCAAGCCCGGTGCTCCTAACAAGAGCCGAAGCTAGTTGGCCCTGGATCCCTAGAGACAGCATTACTGGAAGAGCAAAGACCTCCCGACCCCAGTTCACCCATGCACCTACCCAAGGACCTGTTAGGGCTAATAGGATAGCAGAGGGCAGAGCAGAATCGGTCCCCTCTCTCTGAGCAGATGGCCAGCCCTTGGAGAAGGGCAGTCACCGAACACAGCAGGACAGTGGCTCCGGAGTCACACAACTGGCCTGCTGCTCCTTGTGCAATATTAGCTATTCAGGTGTTTGCAAGTTCTTATCTCTTACCCAGATGCCCACCCTAGCCAGGATTGTATCACATCTTATCTTGAGGCAGGATAGCTGGTTAGAAAAGACTCCAGAAGGAATAAACTGTACGTACCTACCCCACCTGCTCCTGGTTCTGATTTTGTCTCTGAACGTACGGGAATTTCAACACAGTTAACCAGGCCACCTGCAAAAGAATGTTTGAGAAACATCACTCACGAGATGGATAAAATGACCAACGGACTGTGACGTAAGCCCTATGCCCCTGTGACTTGTGCATAAGGGTCCCTTTGGAAGCACCACTGAACTATATCTGTTTAGGGACAAGATTTACATTGACATTCAACTTTCAGGTTTTTTTCTTTTTCTGTTTCCAGTGGCACCTCTGAGCCCACGGTTAGCGCCTCAGTTTGTGTCTCCCTACTTTACTAAATAACAACAACAAAAAATTAAAAAAAGAAAGGAAGGAAAGAAGAGAGAGAAAAGTGAACTGGGTGAGTTGGCATTGTTTTTGTAATCCTGGCCCTTTGGGAGGTGGACATAGGAAAGTCAGGAGGTTAAAGCTATTAGCCGCGTTTGGAGTTTAAGGCCAGCCTGGGTTAGACTGCTTTCAAAAAAACCAAACAAATCCAGTCTGACTCCTGTTCTGCTGTCACCACCTGCAGGGTTACACCCCAGACACTCACTTCAGCCTGGCCAGCCAAGACAGAAGGCTCCTCTAGCCAGTCAGGTACCACACTGCTTGTAAGGAGTGACAGCTGCCTGCCCCAGGCACCTTGGTAAACATTCCATAGGAAGAAACCCGGTGCTCCTCGACAGAGTCTCTAGGCTACTGCCCTCAGAGATTATGCCATGGGCCCTTTGGAGAAGGCAGATTGGAATGAGCGTGCTTGATTGAGGTGATGGCGAGCGGCAGTTTAACACTCGTTTCCTGGGGTGCTAGCAAAATGAGCTCAGGCAGTGCTTCCTTGTTTCAAGAGATTTCCCTCTACCATATGAGTGTGGGTATCGAGCTCTGCGGGGGCATGCTCGGGAACACACACAAATAAAATAATGAAAAGGAAAGATTTCCCTTAGAAGGCAGTAGCACGCGGGTAATGAGTCTCCTCTTGCCATGAATTTGAAAGAGAGCCAGGAGGGGTAATGTGGGAGGGACTTGGAGGGAGGAAAGGGAAGGGAGCAATGATGTAATTGTATTATAATCTCAAAAGAAAAAAAAAATCTAATTCCTCCTTCAGGACTCCTGACAGAGTTCTCAAAGGGGCCTGTGTGTCTGAGTGAGAGAGGAAGAAAGATCCCTAGACTTGGATCCATGGAGTCATTCCCCAGAGGCAGTAGTAGTCATGGGAACCAGAGACCCAGATCTAACCCATGTGGCAGGTTACCTGCAAGTGCCTCTCCCATGTGTGCAGTGTGCTGGGCCCCTTGTCTTTGGGGGCAGGATAAATCATGAAATCTTTAGGGACAAACTGGCTATCAACTTGCATCTTACAAGAAAAGATGATCTTACAAATGGGTAATTGAGGGAGACTACTAGAAAGGCAGGGAAAATCAGGAAGATGCCGGAAGGGAAAGGGGTCCCTCAGCCCAGAGTCTGAATGGATTCACTGTAAAGATTGCCTACAATATTCTTATGCAATAATCTATCTATCTATCTATCTATCTATCTATCTATCTATCTATCTATCTATCTATCTATCTATGTTGGTTACACCGTCCTGGCTGTCCCAGAACAGAGCTGGAATTAAAGGCATGTGCCACCCCACCTGGCACAATATTCCTTTTTAATGGAAATATTGCAAACAAGAATGTTAAAATAGCGACAAGCCATAGTTAAGGCCTAAACCTGAGTGATCTTTGAGTTTAACTTCACTCCTCTCCCAGCCATAAACCTCCAGATTTCTGGGCATTTCACAGACAGGACTGTGAACTTTGTCCACAGTCGAGCATATGTCTTAACTCCCTGTGTCTTAGTAAAGATTTCTTCCACCGTTGTGACCCATGTTCTTATTTGTCAGGCTGTAATCCTGTTCATTGTTCCTCAAAAACTGTACTGACTTCATTTACTAAAAGAAAGGTAAGTTCTTGGTCTCGGCTGCATGCTATCTGTTTAGTAAGTACACCCAAGCTTACACCTGGGTGAAAGCATTTTTTCTTTCTTTCTTTCTTTCTTTCTTTCTTTCTTTCTTTCTTTCTTTTTTTTTTTTTTTTT